AAAATGTCTTCCTAATCATTATGTGGCACAATTCACATAAGAAAACACATGCACACGTTTCAAAGCACATATGCAAATATGAGAGGTCAGATGGCAGCTTGAAACATGTCTGATAGCCTAAGCAAACCTCAACTGCCTATTTTCACAAATCTTTAGCCAATATGATCAATAGGACCACAGTGTGGTATTCCAGAACCACAGCAATCTCCATTAAAATAGCAAAGCTTCACCTACCAATATGGGGAACGCTATGTAGAATGCTGCTTGCAACATTTATCTGAAAAAACAATCTGTCAAAATGCTTTTCTGACAGAGCTGAGTGCTGCGGGAGGAGAGCGCTGTGAGCGGCCGGCGTCTGTCCTCCCACACCGCTCAGCCTCCTATCACAGCTCACATGAGAACACTGTGGGCGGAGACAGCCAGCACTGCCACAGGAGGCAGAGCTCTCCTCCCGCCCCGCTCGCTCAGCCTCCTGTGATAGTGTGTCAGGAAGGAGAGTGAATGCAAACACTCAGCGATTACTGATACATTATTGAGGACATAGTATGTTGACTATATCCTCAATTATGAATGAATGGGAAGTGATCTACATCACCTCCTGTTCATTCATAATTGTGGTTATAGTAAACATACTATGTCCTCATGTTATAAATGAACAGAGCACCCAGTATTGAGGATTCCTGTTCATTTATAAGAGGGGCTGCAGAAAAAGAGATTGAGGAGGCAGAGTCCTCAATCTTTTTTTCTATTTTAAAAGGGAAATATCAGGGGTCAGTTTAGACCAATATTTCCCCAAAGACCCTAAAAGTAAAATAAAAAATAAAAATATTTAATAAAAAATTAATAGCTGGTTGTGCAGAATTAAGGGTAAACAAATGTCCCATTTTGTACTGAACATAGCCCTTCATATGAAGATATGACACCTGTCTGCACCAACACCAAGTGTGGATATTTATGGCAGATGTCATCTTAATACAGCACTAAACTGCAATGTGTTTTTACAATTGGCATTAATTGTTGCAGCAAATAATACTGTATTCATTTAAACAGAGACTAGCATCTAAAAACAACTGCAAGACAAATTTGAGCTCTGTTTCTTGATGAATTACCAAAACTGATACCAGACACCATCCTTAGAGCTATAATAAAAAAAGGTAGTATATAAATGGCCAGCAGCAACATTAAATGCTTACCAAAGTCTATAAACTTAGAAATAGAATATATTTGCAATACCTATACAGGGATGATAACCTAAAGAAGAAAAGTTACCGTTTCCATTGGTTGCAGGTTCTGAGCTTTCCCAACCGATTGATTTCTGGACTGCTTTTTTCCATCGAGCATAGCGATATTCACTTTCTGAAAGAGAACATTTAGAGAGATCATTAAAAGTTTTGTTGGCATTCTTGCAAAGACAGCAAAAACTGTCTGGGCTCTTCACCTTCTGGATTAATCTGAGGCTCAAAGCGTTCACAAGTTACTGCAGTCAAGTCATCAGGGTTAAGACTCCAGACACCCACTCCTTCAGCCGCTCCTGCGGCCATGGCAGCTCCTAATGCAGTTGTTTCAGGCATGGAAGGTTTTACTGAGAAAAGAAAAAAAAAATGTCAATCTCACATCATCTATACTTGTAGACAAGAAGAACAGCTTATTTCAATTTTTATTCAGTATTCTTAAGATTTCCATGAGAAAATTTAACTTTTAAAGCTGAACTGTAGCCCATTAATATATATGCTCTCTATATATTTATTATCTCTCTCTGTTCAATAGGCTGCCTGGCCACACAGTGGAATATTAGGCTGACTTGGGTAAGAGAATTAGTGAAGTGCAGTGTTAGACAACAATGCCTATCCTGGTTGCCCCATCACATCAGGCACAGATCTATACTACAGTCAATGTGAAGTCAGCATGTCATTCATAATGTGTAGGCATTTCTGGGAGATCTAACACAATGGTCATGCTCTACCTGCCAAATAATAATGTGCACATATGATTTTCACAGACTTCATGGCTAAGCTCCACTACCTTCAACGTCCCTGTCCTCTAAGTGCCCTTACTGGCTACTGGGTCAATCTGAATGGATTGTGGAATCAGAGATAACAGAGCTTAGCCATGAAGTCAGAGAAGGTTAGGTGCCAGTAACAACATGAAAATAAATCACAGAGAGGCTAATAAAGTTAATGGAAAGCAACATGTAGTGTGTGCGCTCTTAGAAAGCACTTTTAGTTTTAAACATTTAAAATAATGCTCTGGACGGAAATAACAGTTGTGACATTGCATAAGCTTATTGAAATTATGCCACGACGAATGCATGCCGCAATCAAAGATAAAGGCAGTCCAATTAAATATTGGAGTGCGTGACTTTTTTTGGCCAAGCAGTGTATACATCAGGGCTCAAAATTTCCAAAATTCTGAGCCCTGATTTCCGAAATTTGGGTCTCCAAGTACCGGTCCGCGGCCCAACTCCCGCCCGCGAGCCAGTACTATGCGATCATGATTGCAGTGCTTAGCGGGCAGTGTGCGCCTGCGCACACCAGCCCGTGCGGCATTCTTGGTCTTCCGACCATGCCACCAACCCGCCAAAAATCGTACGATTTTCGGCAGGTTTTCCAGCGTGCTTGTAAGAAGAAAGTCGTACAACCTTACAGTAGAAGAGGTCGCACGCTGCCCATACATCTGCCGATTATCGTACGATAATCGGCAGGTGTATGGACACCTTTAGTGTATGTGTATATTAGGCCCCATTCACACCCACAGTATATTTCAGGTGTGGTTAGAGATTCCTGTGTCAGGAACTTGCGTTTTCCTGCAGCAGCAATCCCTAATCTGCCGTTTACAAGCGGCAACTATCATAAGAAAAGAATTATCATAAGATTATTTAAGAGGGTGTGTTTAGGGGCGGAGTTGAGGCCGGGCCAGGGTAAGGGTTAGGTGGGGCAACTGGTGGCTAGTGACTCTTAAGGCCTGGCTAGTAGCTCAGGACTTGAAATTTTGAGCCCTGGTATAAATAATGGATCTATAACCAATTTAGAAGTGGCTGTTGAAATGTTTATTTTTAATAAAAGACTGTGTTCATATTTCTGATTATAATTACATGTACCAAAAGCAAATCAAGCAAAACGTTTTTGTTTTTTTTCCTTTTTAACCTATAGATCCTTCTGGAACTCTGAACATTAGTTATTACAATTAGTATGAATCGTCTGAAAAGTAATACTACAAAAAGCACTCAAACACTTTCCCCTAAACTACCACCACTCGGTCACGCCAATTAACAACCTAACTGAACAAGAAGGCAAGAGGCATTGGATAGATACATGTAGAGAGCACAAACATTGAACTGCTTACCCACAGGGATGCATAGGATATCAGCCTGTAACTGCATAAGGATCTTATTGTTAGTCATGCCCCCATCTACTTGTAGCTGGCTCAGAGGAATTCCACAGTCTTGGTTCATTGCATCTAGAATCTGCAATGAAACAATAAATAGGGGATGCAGAGACTATAAGGCAAACACACTGGTTTTGGATAGAAGAACTACTGCTCAGGTTACAGAAGTGAGTCGCAGCATTTAAAGCAATTCTTACATTTTGATCACATAAAAAAAAAATCTGTAATTACCCTATTTTGAAATGGTGTACTTTAAATAAAAGTACACTAACCCAAATTCCTCAGTCCTCCTGATCCAAGATAGTCAAGAAACCCCTCACCCCAGCTGCTTACTCAAGTACTGACTTCCAGCAGGAGCCTTCCTCAAGTAGTGGTTATGTTTATATTCCCCAGCTGTGATCTTCAGTAAAAGGAACAATTTCAGTAAGCCCTTACAGACTTGCATGAGTTTGCCTCCCAAAACTGGAGAAGTTTGAGAGATGGCCCTGTACAAGTCGTGAGTTTGGCTAGTGCTGAAGAGGATGAAAACAAACCCACAGCCCAGAGCAGACTATGGGTGTCCTCCTTAGATAAGTTAGCAGCTGGCTAGTATAGTTCAGTAGAGCGAGAAAGGGTGGGTTAATGTACTTTTACAAACAAGGTTTAAAGCAACTTGGCTGCCATATTTAAAAATATAAAAAATGCACCCTGCAAAGAAAAGAATATTCTCTTGACTTGCAGATCTTCCCTAAGTTTTAGATTGTAAGCCCTCAGGGGCAGTGCCCTCCTTACCATCTTGTCTTGAATTGTATTGTGATTGTAATGTTCCTTATATTGTAAAGGGCTGCACAAACTGTTGGCGCTATATAAGTCCTGTATAATAATAATAAGTTGAAGAGCTAAGATTGATGAAGAGTCTTCAGCTCTTGCAGGTGTGTCAGATGCCTGGTCCCCTGTTGCTCCTTTCCCTGACTGCTATGCCACTACTATGCCCTGTAGTTATGTAAAGGCGGGCAGATGGAAACATGTGCTCAGAGGGGGACCAGGCTTGTGACACTGCTTAAAATGCTGGATGCTGAAGATACTTCAAGGAATTTAGCTCTTAAAAAAAAAATGTGTGGTATAGGCAGCAGGGCAGATAAATGTTAATTATTTTCATTGCACCATTTTTTTTATATCTAGCAACATAGTCGCTTTAAGTACATATATGTTTACCGTTTTACTTAAAGCTCAGTTAAGCTTAACCAGGCAGAAGCAAAGTAAACTACCTGGCTATGAAGTATGACAGATGCCTGTAAATTATAGGACCACAAATCCTTTGTACAAATACAAAATGACAAATTTTTAGGCAGGATATATTCGTATTTCAATTTTGTATGCATCTGTCTGACTACCATTGAATTTTAACAAAAAAACTACAAATCATATGTGATGGAGGCAAATTAAAGTAGAGTATTAACAGCAATATAAGGTGTGCTCTTAAACCTTGGGGTTTACTTCCTGCGTGCACAGCTATAACATGTCAGAGTGGTAAATGCTCTTTCACATATTATTTATCCAATTGAAGGATAAATGGTCTATTCTATTGTTATTTAGTTCTAACAGATGTGCCATATGAATACCAATATTGATGGTGAATGATGTATTTTATACAGACAACTGTAATGCTATGTAACTAGGGATTTATTTTGTTTTTTTAAACCAAATTCTTTTTTGTTTGTTACAGCAATGTTTCCCTTTTCATCTCACACACGAACATTAAACCATAATACAACACGATATTGCCTTTGCTTTATATGTGGCTTTCACAGAACTAACTGTTATTACATGAGTCCAATAAATGAATGTTAGTAGGCCAATCATAACAAAAACAGCACAGAAAGATCCAAAGGTTAGGTCAGTAATTGTATAATATCAGGAGAATAGTGCATCAGACAATTCACTGTTTATGGTCAGTGGGGCACATCAACTAATATTCATGTCACTAGGAAACCTAATGACATGAATAGGGAGGTAATTCTTGGGTACATTTTTCATATCTGCATACAGTAACAGGTCAATAAAATGATGATGCATGGACCTTATGCAAGCGGTCTCCGACTAATCAAGGTAATGGGAGCATGGCTAGGGTGTTCTCGCAGCCCCCCAAAAGGAACAATTGAGTTTTGTGCCATGGAAAAGTACCGTATATGTTTTTTAGTCATATTTAAAATGTAGCCTGAGAAGTGAGGTCAACTGTATCAATCACCTTTTTCCAATATTAAGATAGTGTCAGCCATTTCCACAGCATATGCATCAAAATCTACAGAAGTTTCCCCACATCCGATACATTTAATTTTCACCATATTTAAAAAATCACACCAAAATTCTGAGTGGGGTGTGATCGGGGGGGGGGGCACACCATTGGGAGGGCATACAAGGTGTTTCTGCACTGAATCTTAGACAACTTCACCCTACAAGACAGGTCATGCCTCATAACAGAAGAGGGCACCAACAATAAATGCATTTTTAAATAAGCATTTACCTGAGCAGTTAACACAATTAGAGAGGACGGTACTAAATGTTAAATCAAAGACTGTGCATTTTTTTAATGAAAGATCACCAATGAAAGCTGGTGAATTTCTTTTAGCAGAGGTGTTCTTTTTACAACATTACCCAAGGCACTGGGTACTATAATAAGTATATAATATAATTATTACTATATAACATTGTTCATATAAGCATTAGAGATAAGCAAATATTTAATAGCCTGGTATGTACTCAGTCCCTTACCAAAGGAACCAGAAGAGATGGAAGAAAATCTGGATCTGTGATGATCCATATACTCACCAGCCAGTATTTATGGATCAATATGCCACTCTTGAGCTTTAGGAGTGCTGCCACTCAATATAATATGTACAGTGCTCAGGTTAAAATGTGCAGGCAGAGGTTGAGTCTAGACCAGTATACTTACAAAAATGTACACAGATATTGCAGGAAAGAAATAATTCTATGTTGTTTCATTCAAGAAGGCAGACGTTGCTGTGGGGTTACATTTGGAAACCTCTTGCCGTATTAATTATTTAAGATGGAAGTATGTGAGAGTTTGTAAAACTAGAATTACTAGAGCCGGAAATTGCTGACGGATGTGTACTGCGCTAGTTTAAGCACTGGTTTCAGCAAAAAGTAATATAACAAACTGAAAATGACACATGGGACAGGTATAAGCAATAAAGAGTTGCAAAGCATTTTTTAATAATGTGCTAAGTGAAGCAACCCACAGAATATCAATTTATAACACTGAACCAGAACTAGATTGCTGCAGTCGGGTCAGTGAAAAATGAATTGTGACCGTCTGTTAGGAGTTGCTGCACTTTACAGATTGCTTTTTTTAAACAAGCACACAGGAAAATTTAAACATTTGTGTTTTGTTTTCAAATAAGGCTAAAATAAAATGATAGAAGGAGACAAATGGCAGACAGTCTGTAATATTTTCACATATCTGTAACAATCACAGCACACGATCAATTCAAAAGTAGACGTGGAGCTTCCTCACCTCTCTGGTCTGAAAACAGACAGCTTCAAGAGCAGCAAATGCTATGTGATTCTTGTTTGTAAACTGAGTGAGACCGCAGATGATTCTACAAACATGGAAACAAAAACAGGCAATCTGGTAAAGCATTCTACACTACGGCATAAGACATAATAGTAGTGGTAGTCAACTTAGAAGGCAAAAGAAGGGCCTCAAATGTGGCCCCGATATCTTCAAAGGGCAGCATATAATATATCTATATATCTATATATATATCTATCTATATAGATATATATCTTATATATATCTATATATATATCTATCTATATATATAATGCTACAGAAGACTGTCATAGACTGAAGAGTGGTTGGAGACTGTAGTCATGCTGTACGAGACAGTAAGACTAGGGAACTGATTGGTATGTGGTAGCACTGGACCAGTAGAAATAAGAATCAGTGTGTTGTAAATCTTAAAAAGTGAGAAGTGTGCTCCTTGGAGGAGGCGCATCAGTGATAACAGTATTTATCTGTGTGTGTGGGGACCTGGTTAAAGTGACACTAAACTCAGGAGTTAAAAATTTACATTTAAAAATGCATTCAGGTACCTCAACTATAAAATCGAGGCTGCAGGATAGGAGGAGGTTGAGAGAAGTGATGGTTATCTTATGATTTGGTGATCTGGCTGAGAGGTGAAACATCAGTAATAAAGCCTTTATGTCTCATCCTTTTTAGGAGAGCCCTATAATTCTGGTGAGTGGGTTTCCAAAAGGCTTTGTTTGGATCACAGTGGATTGAAGAGACTTTTTGCATGCCAAAGATTCGGTGGGAGTTAAATAACACTTTTTTTGCATATGTATATATATATATATGCACTTTGATGAATAATCTGCTAGGCGAAGGAGAACGTTTACACGAAAGAATGGACTTTGAGCAGCTCTAACACATTATAAATAATTTACAGTGCAGCCTTAATTTCCACTTTTAGAATATTGCATGTTAGGGTGCTTGTTGGCACATTTATATGAAAATTATTGTTTGATAAGTATAATTTGTAAAACAGTATAGAGACACTTTATGTTAGAGGTTTGAAATAATATTTTTTAAGGTTTAGCGCAGTCCATCGGCATTCAATATTAAACAGAAATGTAGCTTATTTGTGAATCACTCAGCTGTAGATCTTCAAATCATCTCTGAATTGGTGCTGGCACTGTCCTTCCTTCTGGAGGGTGGCTACTTTTGTTCCTCGTGGTCTCTGTGTGTGTTGTAAAGTAGCCACCACTCCAAGCTCACTCCCGTGATGGACTACAATCTCATGTATAGTTTACTAATTTGTATTGAGAGCGAACTTGGAGTGGTGGCTACTTTACAACACACACAGGGACCATGGGGAACAAAAGTAGCCACCTTCCAGAAGGAAGGACAGTGTCAGCATGAATTCAGAGAAGATCTGAGGATCTACAGTTGAGTGATACACAAATAAGATACATTTTTGTTAATGGTTGGAGGTATTTGAATGCATTTTTAAGATGTATCTACTGAGTTTAGTGTCACTTTAAACCTGGATGTGTGGTTAGAAGCACCTAAAAAAAAGCAATCCTCTCGCATAAAAGGTAATTTGAATTGATTATTTGATTGGAAATGTCAGATACAGCCAACACGTTTCAGGGGAATTGGACATCCCCTTCTTTAGGGCTTGAACAAAAATATGTAATGGAATTGGGAAGATATGCACTTTGAAGCCTGAAATAGGGCTGGATTAGGGTTGAATGTCACTGTGACCTGTATGCAGTAAGGGCAGCTGGATCTCAGCCCTACAAAGTGCATCTCTTCCCATTTCCATTACATATTGTTGCTCAAGCTCTGAAGGAGGTATCCAAATCCCTTGAAACAGGTTGGCTGTATGTAACATTTCCGTTCAAATAAACAATTCAAATGAAGCTTGGATTTGAAATTGGACACCCCCTTCTTCAGGGTCTTAAATGAACCTTCAGATAAAAATAACCATTTATTAGGTGATCCTAGCCTAGACAGACAGTAAGGATTAGCTATATGAAACTGTTAGAGATCACTGCTATTAAAGGCCCCTTTACAAATAAATGCCACCAGGGCCGCAGGTTGGGCACCAGGGAATTAGAGGGAGATTACACATACAGGAACAATTTGACCACCCTCAGAGTGCTGCCCAGCACTCCATACATTTTTATGTTGGCTCTGGACACACTCAGTTTTAAATTAGATTTAGCACTTATCAGGGGTGCCTGAGATGTATTCTAACACCCATAGACATGAGACTTTGGCCAAGAAGACTTGACTGGGGGTGGCTCATCTCACAGCTATGGGTAACTTGAACAATGTGACATTATGGTAGTTTACAGGGCAATATGCATATGGGCTGAATCAGAAACTGTGGTTTAAGAAGAATAGCCGACATTAAATAAGAATTGAATGTTTTAGTTTGAATGAATTAGTGTTTTAAATCAGTCAATATCTGCAAACTGTATACATATTTTTAAGATATTGATTTGGCCTAGTTTCAAAATTAAATACATTTCTGCTTTACCTACATTGATGTCCAATCTATTCAAATATTTCTATTTTATCGGATCTAATATATACAAGTTAAATATAATGGTAATATGTCCTGCAAGGTCCAGGTTTTCATGCCATTACTCAATGTAACAGAGTCTGCTGGTCAGTGCTTACAATTTTTCCTGCACATCAGTGGGGGAATCAACTCAGAAAAAGCAGCATGGCTTTATTTTTCTAAAGTTTAAATGAGAAACATCTCCCTAATCATAATCATGATTCCAGTTTAGTGAGTCACATTATTGGCTGACTTTGTATCCTGTGACAGTGGTGATGTGAAGTTCATCTTATATTTTCATCTCACGTACATGCTACAAAGAATCTGGCACTTCTGCATTTCTTAGAAAACTACACACAAGCGGTATCAGTTCAGTCAAGGTTCACAAATACAAAAAAATGAATCCGTTTACATCAGTATGCACATCTGTTGTCAGTTCAGTTTAAATCCATTTTTACATGTCAGTTTTGGGCCTTTTGTTATTATGGTATGGTAAATTCCCATGATTCTTTGCTTCCCCCCAGCATGCATTGAGCTTGCCATGCTGTATCACGACATCAGTCCCAAAAAACAGACGTAACCTGAACTAATGTAAACTGATCATCAGTTCACATCAGGTTACATCAGTCCTGGTCAGTCAAAACAGAGAGAGGCTCCATCTCAAATTGCAGACCGCAACTGACACTGATGTTTCCTGGTCCTCAATTTTCATCTGCACTGCCAGAGAGATGCATTGTTGTCCGTTTTTCATCTGCAAATAGAGGGTTAGAAACCTGACAACCTAAACACTGGTGTGAAAGCAGCCCGAGTTGGAATTTTAGTCTGCACTATCAGTATGACCCCTAGAACTGCTGTCCATGAGGGTCTAAGACAGCAAGTGATATACAAATAATCCCGTGGCTCAGTCCATCCTCTCCTGCCAAAGTCTCTATAGTATCAAGGTAAAATCTTATATCCTTTCATGCAAAAGAACATGCATTTTTTAACCCCTTCATGACTGAGGCCTTTTTTTCATTTTTTTGTAGCTTCTTTTACTTTTTGTTCTTCTTTCTGCAATTCTAATCCTTTTCTGGTAGGCTGACGAGCCGCAGTTTATTAAAAAGGAGAATATGCCTGTAGTCATTATCATTTTCTATAACTAGGCCTTCATTTTTTCTCTCTCACTCTTTTGTAAATTCACAGCAACAATAACATATGTTGCTCTATTAACCTCCCTGGCGTGTTTCCCGAGTCTGGCTCGGGGTTAATTTTAAATACTAGGATCGTTAACCCCGAGCCAGACTCGGGGCTGCAGAGAAAAGTGACACTTACCTTGTCCCTGCGATCCCGCAGCGTCTTCTGCTGTATGCGGCCCGAAAATGAAACTAAAAGCCGACATCTGACTTTTAGTTTCGTTTTCGGGCGTCACAGCCGGAGGGAAATTCAAAAGTGAAAAGTTCTAATGTACACAGAATACACACAATACAATGTAATCTGCTATGATTACACTTATGTATCAAACTATTTCACTTCAATTTTGTCCCTAGAGCTTTGTCCACTGCCCTGCCTGACACTTTTTCACAATTGTAAGAATTTTTTAATAATTATTTATTATAAAAAAAAAATTTATTATATTATAATTTCTTATAATTATTTATATTATATTATAATTTTTTAATTTCGTGTTTCAAACTTTATCATACCCGGGATGTCTACTGGACTCTTGTTTGAACAGATTTAGGTGAGTTATTCCTAAGATGTATTAAGAATTACAGGCCTACAATATAAAACAACAAATTTCCATGAAAAACAATGTACCGCTTTTGGATGCTAAAATCCTGAATAATCAGACCGCCAGGGAGGTTAAGAAGCATTTAAAGTTTTTTTTTTTTCCTATCACATAGTAAGGGCTCAATAACAAGAATCTGTCATACCCTCTGGCACTGGGCTCCCAGTACGGTGCATACAGGCCCGAGAAAGCTGGAACAAAGTAGCAGCCATAAGATGTACCCGCTTCAGCAGCAAGCCTCTCTAAGAAACAGAACATATATGCATAAATTAAAATGTCAAATCTGCTTGATGCCTTACTAAATTGTGCAAAAATTATCTTGTTTCTTACCTACTTCCTCCGTATTTTTAACAATGCCAAGGTTATCTCTTAGCCACCGCACTACAGCTCCAGCTATGGCAACTGACCCCTAAGAAATAAAAATAAAAAAAATGACAAAAAAAAACAACAACAACACAGGAGCATTAAATGTAGGTCCATCAAAGAAGAGATCTTCAGTTTTATGTCTCATGGACTTATATTTCATGGTCTTGCCAGCAATAAAGGTGCCCATACATCGGCAGAATGGACAGCACCTTTCTTCTTCTCAGCTACAGGGAGCGTGATTTACAAGGGACAGGCAAATCAGAACGATTTGAGCTGTACATGAACTGCATTAATGTCCTTGAACTCCCTCTAAAACGCCTGTTCGACCAATCCCAGCAGATACATATAAACCTTAATTGAGATATACTTTATTTATGCACCGCTACCATGCTACATGTTGATACACACACTCTGTGCTGCTCCGGGTGCCAGCCTGACATCTCGGGCAGACAGTCTCTGGTGGGGTCCAGAGGGTCTTAGGAGGGGGACATGTGCTGGCGGCGGAAGCACTGTAAGCAGGCACTGCATGGTTTCCCATAAGACTGCTGCGAGGTCCCCAGCAAGCCAATACAATTTGAAAATGTAAAGTGTCGGTATTGTATTTTTGTATCAGGGCATTTTTACTCATACTTGTGAAAATGCACAGTATCAGCAATGATACAGGTATCAGTACATCCCTAATAAATGTTATATT